GGTTATAAACAAGTGTCGTAAGGAAAAAAACAATTTTTTTTAATTTGTGATTTAAATTTGTTTACAGTACTTAATCTATAAATTATCAAAAGAACTCTTTATATAATATCATTAACTGAAATAAACTGAAATTTTAACAAATATAACTGGAGCAAATAAATTTTAATCAATAAAAGAATAATAAACAATAATAATATAAATTATATGGTTATTTAAATTTCGAGCAATTTTCTTGTTTTGTTTTCAAAATGTTGCCGTAAACAATAATAATATTATGTCATAAACTACATAATACCAATTATAATTTAGCGGGATTTAGCTGTGTACATAAAGAATTGTTAAAGTTAAATTGAAATGAGTATACATTTGAGTATGAAGCCTTTTAGAAACTGAATTTACGATATTGTTTTTAATAAGTCGGTAAAAAACTAGTATAAAATTATATAGTTCACTAAATACCCAATATAAAAAAGATAAAATTTTTTTATCGTTAATTCCTAATTTTAAATTTTATAATTAATTATTTAATTATAGTTTATTTTTTTCAGAAAATAATTGAAACCGATTATATAAAACGGGATACTTAAATAAATGCTTATCATAGCTATTGAAAGAATCTTTTTTTAAGTGCATTAATTCAATATGGTGAAAGTGCAAGCGCAAATTTTAGAGTAAATATTCTTAAACCGCGCACATGTAATTAAACTTTACAATACTATATATGTATTACTTTTTTCTTGTATAGAAGACTAAAAATATTTTAGAAGCTTAAACACTTACATTTTAAGTACTAGCTAATTTAATTTAAGTGTTAGCTAATATTTTAAATTTTTAAAGGCTTGAAAGATATTAATACTAATAAATACAAGATAACTCTTTATTACATAAACGCATCTAAAATTATTACAGAAATTTTCCTATTATATACACATTACCACCATTCTCTACCATAAGCAGATAACGGTATGTAAAATCACAAATATCTTTTTGTTTTTATCCTTTTTCGCTCCTGGGAGTAGCATAGGGCTGGTATATATGATATCGCTAAACCATGAACAAGTTTCTACATCATTGAGTTTACTAAGTAGGTGACGAACCTACCGTAATCACAAATCATTATTAAATCTTAATTTACAAAAATATTTAAATATTAATTTTTGGATTTTATATCTCCGATTTGTGTTAAAAATGAGATTTTACCGGAAATGATTAAAAAGAATAGTGGAACGTTTATGTTTCAATAAAGCGAGAAACAACTATGCATATGTAAATTTCGATATAAACTTAAATTATTTTTTAATTTAATAATAGTTATTAAATTTTATATTTTATAATTTAACAGAGCATAACGAGGCAATATATCTAATTTACCAGAAGAAATTTTAACGAAAAAAAAATTTATTTTAATATTTTCCCCTCATATCTAAATTACTCGTACAAATTAGAACACTATTAGCTCTCTAGTTTTATCTCTCTAATTGTTAGACTCTTTTTCTCAAAAATTCTTGTAATAACTATTTGTATGGGAACAGAAAATTTATCTAATCTAGAATCTTACTAAACAATATTAAGATATTAATAAACGAAAGCACTTATTTAATTTATACTATCCTAAAGAGACATACAAATTTATAGAAATAATTTTCAAAAGAACGTATACATTTTTTATAGTACTAAGTGCAAAAATTCTTTTAAATTTTCATAACTATTTCAAAATATATAGAAACCTTTACAAAACCAGAAGAATATATACGCCTAACAGCTGTATGGTATTTAAAAATTTATGTTTTTCTAAATGTACGCAAAACCGGAAAAACCAAAAATTGTAACAAATTTAACGAAGCATTCAAAAATTATTAATACTTTAAAAAAAATTTGTTATATAATTTTCTCTTTGAAAACTATAATATAATAGTAAAAGAATTTTAAATAAATATACTATATATATGCATCACATTTATAAATACGTTATGGGTACTCGTTTTCCTTATAAGCGACACTATATTTTCGCACAAATAATGGCCCTACTTAAAAACACTATTGAAATGTATACTATAAGTACTTATACAGTATGTTCATTTTTTCGTCTTGGTAAATTTATTATTTTATTGTAACTATAATTTTACGATGCCGATGTTATGGTAGACTTAGCGGAAACAAAATTTATTAACCAAAATTTTTCCTATATTAAGTTTTTAAAGATAAAGATAATATTATTATACTTAAATATATTAAAATTAAGCTTCCGTGAATTTTAAATGATCTGATAAAATTTAAAGTTTTTATAACTTTATTCCACTTAAGGAAAACACTTAATTTATTGACAAGAAAAAGCCTATGATGTGTACAGCATATTGCCGACTTATTTTTTCCAAATAAATTAAATTTATTTCAATTATTAATTAAAATATATACGAGTAATTCCTATAAGAATTGTTAAAAATCTTAAATTATGTTGCTAGTTTCAAAGGACATTTTTTTTAAATAAAATTATTTAGATTACGTCAATAAATTACAGACTAATTATTCTAAATAGTGGGTGAAAACAATTCTTAACTTTCTATGTTTTAGATAAGTGCCTTCTCATAAAAAAATTTAATTAAAATATGTCGGACAACAAAAAATTTTTTTTTTACATTTTTAGTTTCAAAAGTGTTAAAGTTACCTGATTAATTGTCAGCAATTCTATAATAAATGTAAATTCAGTTTTCTGTAATCTGTAATTATTGAAATTGAGTTAACATAAAGACATACTCGTATATTCAAACTTATAAAACTTAGAAAGTCAAGAAAATTTATTACTCGGGTTTTAATTAACATAATCATATAGCAATATTATGTTCACAGGGGTTATAATGAAAAAGTACAAAATAATAAATATTTTATCAAATATTCAATAATCTATATTTATTAAGTAATAAGTGTATCGGTATAATATAATAATTATTGATAATGCTATTACGCTATTATAAAATTACTGAATAATAAGTGCGACCGTAAAATATTTTTAAAAAGCAATTCCTCATAAAAGTTTGTTTACATGATAGGATCGGGTTTTTTTTATATTTTGTAGGGTTATAATTCTATTTTTGGTAAAATTCAAAATATCGAATTTAAATCTTTATGACTTACTAATATTAATAATTAAATACGCTCCCAGTCTTAGCTTAACATTTCTAAATAATAGCTATAGTCCCACCCTAAGTAAGAATACAGCCTTAATTTTTAAAAATTAATACATTTATTTTTAAACTGCAAACGAATTTAGGCTCTTGTCATGATTTGGGAAAAAATTAACGAATTCAGTAAAATCTTAATTCATGATCGGCGGATAATTTCATTCGTCAGATCCAAGATTTCGCTACTTTAAGACGTCATAAATTCGGCAATTATTCGTCTAAAATTTAGACTAATTCGCTAATCATCGCATCGCCGATCATGATAAGACCCTTAAACTGAATTTGTTTTGAAATTATCCAAACGTTTTTTATATGAAATAAATTGGCGAACGCAATTTATTTGCGGCGCGTAATTACCGAATGATTTACGTTGTAGTTTTCTTACGAATAAAAACTCTTTAAGAAATTGATTAATCAAAATTGACTGTGCACAAATATCTTTATGTACATTGTGTTTATTCTATATACACATAAATTTTTATAAACTAATATTAAAAAATCCAAATTACATAATTTATTTTGCAAATAAATATTTCAAAATTCAATCGTAATATTTTGAAGAAAAGAATATTGTTGTAACCAGTTAGAAGAGTCAAATAAGATTAAATTTAAAATTTTTTGACAAAAATTATAAAAATTTTTAAATTCATTTTCATGTTTTTTTTTCTCTTATCAAGTGAAAATTATCAAAGAGATAATAATTATGGAGATATTCTTACTTATTTCACACTTATTCTTAGTACATAATTAATTTTGTTTTTATAAAAAGCAAGATAAATCCAGGAAATCAATCTCCGTCTTTCAATAAATAATATTACATAAAAATTAATTCTGTCTTGTAAATAGGCACTAATAATAAAAGAAAAACTAAAAATAATAAAAAGTTATCAACAAAATAAGAAATTATAAAATTTTTGGAAATTTATAAAAAATCGTGGAACTGAGGTTATAAAATATCACATATATGTATATAAAAAAAGGTCTTTGACTTTCAATTATGTTATATATTGCAAATTACGATAAGAATTATAACAAAAATCTGATAGCAAATCTTAATTTAATTTGACCTATTCAACTAATAAAATTTCAAAAATTAAATTATATTGGAGTAGGCCCTAAGTCTAACAATTAAAAATTGAAATTTTTACTAAGCAATTATTTTCTTTCCATACAGCCATATATTATTCTAAAAATTTAAGAGTTTGAAGTAATATTTTTTTTAAAATCAAAAATAATAGCAGCCGTACCTTAATTTTCTCGAAATTTTTTAATATTAATCAAAATATTTTGGCATTACATAGCAAAATTTTTATTAAGTTTATTCACATTTTCTACATTCTGTACGACAATAACAATAATTGCTAAGTAAAATTTTATTCTAAAATTAAAATATTTATAATTTTTTAAAATTAATTAATAAGGTAATAAAATAAAAATTTCTTAAGTATTTATTACCGTTAATTATTATGTCATATAATGTCATTACGCTTCTTTAATGAAAATTTATAACATTTTTAATAATTATTGTTATTAAGGTATAAAAATCCAAAATAATTATCAAATGCGATTAAATAAAATTTTATAATTTTAAGCTATGGTATTAGTTGGGATATTTGGGTATTTCTTTAATATAACTTATACTCGTATATAGGTGCAAAGATAGAATTTCCTACATAAATAAATTTAATTGTATTCTATAAAAATCAATAAATTAACTACCTCGTAGTATTTATATAAATTAAATTGAATTTTAGAAATTTATTTTAATAGAGAACACACAGTTGAAGAGTTAAAAATGATTTCTTTTAATTTTTCATTATTTCTATTAATTTTTGGAATTGGCTGGAGTCACAGTTTACCATTACAACAGAATTTATCACTTTACAATGATGATCAAGATTCATTTTGGGATAAAATCGATTTAGAAGAATTAAATTTATCATGTAAACCTTTATGTGATCCGGCCAATGGTGATGTTGATGTTAAATTTTATTTGTATACCAGAAAAAATCCGTCAGTTGAAGAAAAACAAGAATTAAAATCTAGTGATTCTGAGACAATCAAGAATTCGAATTTTAACTATCGGAAACCAACAAGGTATATAATATTGAACATTATGAATTATTCACTTTTTTGTGACAACTAAAATTTTAAATATAATATATATTTTTTTTATTCATTTTTCTATATAGATTTATTATACACGGCTGGAATAATAATTATGGATCATCAGTAAATAGAGTTATAACCGAAGCATATCTTCATAAAGATGATTATAATGTTATTGTATTAGATTGGAGCTCTTGTTCAAAAACAATAAATTATTTTGCAGCTAGATGTTGTGTTGATAACGTTGGAAAGCAACTTGCTAAATTAATAGATATTTTAAATGAAAAACATAAACTTAAATTTCAACAAATTAAATTAATTGGTCATAGTTTAGGAGCTCATGTAGCAGGTTTTGCTGGAAAAAATATCAAAAGAGGAAAACTTCCTTCAATTATTGGTTTAGATCCAGCACTACCATGTTTTAAAGTTGATGCAATTGATGAACGTTTATCTGCTGGTGATGCAGAATATGTTGAAACAATTCATACAAATGCTGGTATATTAGGATTTTTTAATCCAATTGGTATAGCATCATTTTATCCAAATGGTGGAACAAAACAACCAGGATGTTTAAAAATTTCATGCTCACATAGTAGATCATTTCAATATTATGCTGAATCAGTTGAAAGAGTTAATGAATTTATACCAAAAAAATGTAATAATATGGAAGAAATTAAAAAAAATAATTGTAATATAAATGCAGATGATATAAGAATGGGTGGTAAAACAAATAATGATAAAGCAGATGGTATATTCATTTTACCAACTAATAAAGCATATCCTTATGCGATTGGAGAGCATTAAGACTTTAAAATAGAAAATGTGATAAAAAATCTAATGTTAATTTTTTACAGTTAAGGTACTAAATTTAAGAAATTATTTTATTTTATTAATAAACTGAATCAGTTTTTAAATTTTGTTTTTTTTTTTTTTAATGTTGAATCACTTACAAATTTTTCGAATTTGAATAATATTTCAAAAGAAATTCATGAAGAAATGTAATTAAATTTAGTGTATACTGAATAACCTTAATTTTTAATCAAAAATATAAATGTAGCAGTTTTTAAAAAACATATTAAGTTTTGATTTTTAATAATTTTAAGTTTCTTATAAACTATTCAATTGATTCTAGTCTATAAATTGCATTTCATTTACATTTTACAAAATATGAATTTCTTTGTTTAATATAAACACATTCATTTACATATGAATAAACTCTATTATTTAATTTATTAACAATGTTGAAAGATTTTTAAAAATATTTTTAAAATGGATTCAAATACTAAGCTTTGCTTTGTTTTAAAACACCTGCACAAATATTATGAAATGTACACACTTCTATTTTGCGGATGAAAATTCGTACGAGTATTACAAAACTAAGAAAACTAAATATGTATATTGCAAAATATTTGTTTGCACTTTCTACAATTTTCATAATAGTTAACATGTAAAACAATATTAACAAGTAAATTTTAATATGCAAATTGGAATTAAAAACAACTCATCAATTAATCAAAACACTTAATGGTGACATAATTACATAAAAAATTAACACAAAATTCAATTAAGACCTCAAATCTTGAAATTAAATTATACTTAGCTTCAATGTTGAGTACCCTTTCAATGAACTTAAAAATGTAAAATCAATGTAACAAATCAAACAAACTTTTGCTAACCGGGTATTACGAGCGCCCCTAATCATGGTCACATTGTTATTTTTTCCTACACTAAATTAATTTGTGATTTATGCCACGCATGTATCCCACCCGGATGATTCAATATCACAAATGATTCAATATAAATACAATAGCAGTTGCTGGAACACTTATTCCCATTCAATGGCTATTGTATTTCATGTACAAAAATGAAAGAATACCGAAACGAATCCATTTAGGTCACAAATATAACTGTTTTGCAAGTATAAATAAGCTCGTCTTTATATCTATAATATAAAGCTATATGTACCAACAACACACTACAATTTTTTAAGATGACTTGAAGCCCAAAAATCCCATTGGATGAACTTTTGAAAAGTCCTTATTTATATTACTATCTTGTGTTGAGAAGTTTTACCTATATTAATTAACTGATGACTATTACGCTGTATGTAAAAATCTGATTCGAATATAAGTAGGATTAAGTATTTAATTGTTACCTTATAGTTTGTGTTATCTGCTAACTACTTTACAAAAGCTTATACTAAAAATAAATGACAATATCAACTAAAAATTAAAATAAAATGTTATACATAAGTTTAACTGTAAGATTTTCAAATAAGAGAATATGATAACATTTCCTCATTTCAATCAAATTCGCTTAAATGTTGATAAGATAGAATTCTACAATTTTCACCTGTTTGTATTTTTATATAAATATTTTTTTTTCGTTGCAAAAAAAAGCGTGGCATATAAATACGGTTTATAAACAATCGCAGTTTAAAAAAATTTCTCATAATTATTAAATTAATTTAGGAATACATTTCGAACGACTCATTCTATATAAAATGAACGAATTTTGGATTAAAAACTTTGCAGTTTTTACAATTTTAAGTATGAAATTAAAATTTTATGGAACGTTAAATAATATATTACAATATTGTTCTTAAATTTCGTTTTAGTACTAAGTAGCAAATTTGAAGAATGTATGGGTAAATTATCTAAAACTAAAACTGAAACGTGGTTTGTACCACAATTGGATGGAAGTATGAAATATATGAATGAAGAAGAAGCTATAAAAGCAAATTTATATATTTTACCAATGAGCACTTTTTCAACAATTCAACATGTTAATCCAAACATATTTTTCTTCTTGTATACAGAAAAGAATATGCAATTCGGAGAAATGATTCAATTAAATAACACATATTCTTTAGAACAATCAAAATTCGATCCCAAATATCCTACGAGGTACGTAAAACTTTTTTTTATCTTATCAAATAATTTTCAGTATAAAAAATTAAATAAATATTTTCATAATTTAGAATCATAATACATGGTTGGAGAAGTCGTTTAACCTCACCAATAAATCAATTAATATGTGATGCCTATCTTTCTGTTGGGCGTTACAATGTTATTATTGTTGATTGGGGAACAATTGCAAATACAATAAATTATGTAAAAGCACGTTATAGTGTACCTTCTGTTGCATTACAAGTCGCCGACTTCATTGATTTCTTGCATCGTGAAGGAAAAATGAATTTTTCAGATCTTATTGTAATTGGACATAGTTTAGGTGCTCATGTTGCTGGGATTGCTGGCCAAGAAGTTAAAACTGGAAAAATTCCAATTATTTATGGACTTGATCCAGCATACCCATTATTTTATTATGAACAAATCGATGAAAGGTTATCAGATGACGATGCCGAATATGTAGAAACAATTCAAACAAATGCCGGTTTATTAGGTTTTAAATATCCAATTGGTAAAACTTCATTTTTCCCAAATTGGGGAAAGGTGCAAAAAGGATGTGCGTTTGATTGGAATGGAATGTGTTCGCACCGACGATCTTATAAATTTTTTGCTGAACTTATTAAAAGTAATAATTTTACATCAAATGTACGTTGTGAATCCGTGGATAATTTATTAGCGGAAAATTGCAATGTACGAACAAAAAATATTAAAATGGGTTCTGAAAGCAATAAAGTAAATACAGAAGGAATATATTACTTGGATACGAATTCTGAAGAACCTTTCGGTCTTGGCTAATAATATCAAAGCTTTATTAATTATTTAATGTGGAAATAATCATTGTTTGAATCATATTTAGCCTTTAATATAAAGCATTGTAGTCTTTTAAAAAAATTATAAATATATAATATAATAAAGGAACTAATAATCTAAAATGAATCCACAAATTTTTTAGCCTCTGTCGCATCTTTTTTCAAATACATGTTTATTTGGTTTATTTGGTGAATTAATATGTAAAATTATTAATTTGATGAATAGAAAAACATACCGTAATGTTGTATTCAAAATATTGTTTGATATTTCTGTAAAATAAATTCCTTCGTTTCAAATTTCCATCTCCAAAATAGTAAGATTCTTATATCTTCGAACGGAATTCTGTTAAAGAAAAAAGGCTGACTAATACTTCTGTTTTATTAATTAATAATACTCACACTTCTTTTTATTAAGAAAACTTTTTTATAAACTTTTGTTCCAGCAATAAAAATATTACACTTCTTTAATGATCTTAGAAGTACACACAATTTTTATATTGAATTTTCAAAAACAGAAAAAAAATATACATACATACATATTTCCAAAATGATTTAAAAAAAAGAATAATCATTAATTTTATTTCAAACCTACATAATTTATATTATGTATTTTAGTATATTATACTATACATTAATAATACTTTTCAAAAAATCTAAATAATTTTGATATACTTCTTTACAGTTTCTCTTTTCCATTTTGTTAAGATTTTACAAATAAGAAATTAAATTAAATATTACGAAAATGTAAATAAAAATTCACATATTATAATGAAAATATTAATTATAAGTTTCTTGATGCAGAATAATCTACACTTACAAATATTTATTTGGAATTCCATTTTAAAGAAATAATAAAATATATATCTCAAAAATAAAAGATTTCACTATCTAAATTTAACTTCACATTAACCTAAATTATATTTTTCAGTGTTTTATATTTTTAAGTTTCGTTTTTTTAGTTTTTCAAACCTTTACATATCGCAAAGTTTATTTTTTATATATTGCTGCATTTTACGTTAATTTTTAGTTAAAAAATTTATATTTCTTACCCGCCATGATAAAATTAAATTTGAAATTCAAATTAATTTATCCATCATTAAAGACTTAATAGCATGAATGCTACTACACCAAAAAAAAATTCTTAAAATACGTCTACTTTAAACTAACTTACACTCGTACCTTATGAAAATATATTGTAACATTTATTTTATAAAATTTCATAAATAACTTCAACTTTACGTACTGTATTTTGAAAAAAATTAATTTTTAGTTTAATAAATCAAATTTGAATAGGTTTGAAGAATGAAAATCATAAGTTTCTAATTTAGAGTATTCATTGAAATCTATATTAAACTTAATCTTTAAAGGATAATATTTTATAACTTTATTTTAGAGTTTTTTCAATTTATTTAGACTTTATTTTATTTTGTTGTGGTTTTATTGAAATTCGATGGTTTCCACAGGATTTGCTTGAGAAACATCCATGTATCACAAAATCTTACACATATTGTTTAATTTTTTTGTTTTTCTTTTTCTTCAACCTTAGAATTGACGCTAGTTTCAGCATCTTTTTCAAGTTCTTCTTTTAGATTAGTAGCACTTATGCAATCAACATCATATTCGGTATAAACATTATAAATATATGTTTGAACAAATGTCCAAAATGTGAAAGCAGCTGGTGGATATTCTAAATTAAAAACATGAAATATTTTGAAACAAATATCAACTGCTTTTAATGTTGAAGAACATTTATATTTTATGTCATCGAAATAAACCATTATTTCAGTAGGATCGTATATGCTTTCACCTACAAAAAATATAAAAGGTTGAATAGGAGATGCTTGCTCACGCAATTCATTTAATTTTTCTTGAACTTTAGTATTATTTGAGGCAATTTTTATAAATGATTCCTGAGAATCTTCAATTGTATACTTCTTTGAAATTTTTTTCCCAGAACTATCTTTAGCCATATATTTACTCGTTGGAACTAAAATATGGTGGAGAAGCAAAAATATCGAAGCAACCTTACCATCTTAAAAAGAAAAGAAGGTGAATATTGAATATCAAAGTTAGTTTTATATACATACCTTTATTAGTTAATTTATCAAGTTCTTCAATTTGAGTTACCAAATTCGGTTTTTTAAGCTGATTTTTTAAAATGGGTAAAATAGCTATCTCAAAATTTGGCCACTTTTCAATTAAGCTTTCTGAATGCGGATATTTAAACTCATAATCTTTATCAATTAAACGGTATCCCAATGGCTGAGTATAAGATGGCCATATTTTTAGAATTTGTTCTGTTGAGTGCTCATTAAGAAAATTTGCTCTGAATTTTTGACATCTTACCCATCGTTCTTCAACGTCGGCCCAAGGGCATGTATTTGACAACAAATACAAATTATGTTGTTTTGCACCCTCTTCGATCCCTAATAATACAAATCATTATTAAACTTAAAACTAAAATTATTGTTATAATTTTTTTTTACCATAAGGCAATTTCGATGGGGATTTGGATTTTCTAGGAGAACGTTTCTTGTGGATTTTTTGTAAAATATCCGCTTTTGTTAATTTTCCTTTTCCGTTAGCAAATTTATTATAAATTTTTATTATAGGTTTTGATCGATTTTTCTTCTTTAGAAGATACATATCCTAAAAAAGCATTCATATATTTAATATAAATGTTAAATATAGCATATCTATTTATAATAAAATAATTTTTTTGTTAGTAATTCATATATTACCCTATTTTCACCAGGAAACAAAGTTTTTACTTGATCCGCTAATAACTCCGACAACTTTCCATTTCCATTTTTACTATTATAATATGTTGAAATTAAATTTAATAAAGTATTCCTAGCGCTTTCATTTAAATCCTTACTTTTACTATGTAACTTTAATATAGTTTTACCATCATAACAACTGTTTAATATTTTTAGTAGTTCTGTGCAATTTGATTTTGAAAAGCTGTTCCTACGCGATGTTTCTGATTTACATTCAATAGAGTTATCTACATGAGCTTGAATATCTCCTTCAGAGTTTATGTTTAATGTTTTATTAGCTTGTTCAAATTGCCAATCTTCTAAAAATTTTGTAAATTTAATTTGTCGACCAATTGACAATTTAGTAGTCACAAGCTTTCTAAATTCAGGTTGCATTATAAGTAAAGCATCTATATCTATTTCCTCATCTAAAATTTAAAAAATTACTAGTTTAAAATAAAGTTGTACATACATATATAATTGTTCTACCTTTGAATAGCTGAATTAATTCTGGAAATCCCCATTGGTTTAGTAAGGAAGAAACAACCTCCATTTTATTATCCAACGAAATTTTTCTTCGTTTCTTTGGAGTCACTGATGTAGGACTAACATCTAAATCCATTTTTAAAGCAATTTGAATCTAAAATTTGTCAAGAAGTACAAGTTGCGAAAGTAATTGCGAAAATTAACTCTAAAATATTGCTCAAACTAATGTCGGTCTTTTTGACATTATAATGCACGCGATTTGCTTCAACCTTTTAACTTATTTTTTGCAAATGTTGTGGTCCCAGTAATCGTTTTAGTATTGTTTAACAAATTTTATTAAATTTGTTGCAATTATCCAAATCGCATAAAAGGTATATTAAACATAAAGTGACGATGTAACACACTGTGTGACTTTTGCTTTCCAAACTTTATTTTGATGCCTTTTTTGGCGGAAAAGTATTTATTTTGAATTTAGTGTGTTTCATTCAAATTCGGCACAAAAATTTCACTTACAATTAAAAGTCTAGCTTTCTTTTTTTATTTTCACTATTAAACATGCAAATTACAAACATAGAGTAAATTTATATTTTAATAACACATAATGAATCAAACGACATTAAAACTTTAAACAACAATCCTGCAACTGTAAAGTAGATCTACACAAACACAAAGATTGCAGCTGCTTTTTTGACCTATCGGCATCGTAGACATATCCTTATCAAGGATGCCAGGTGACTATTTCAACTACTACAAAATAATCACCTCAAAACAACAATATAGTGCTAGTTTATCTGTTAAATGTAAACTACTCCAACAGTTCCAGTTTCTTTGTCAGGTTTATTAATTAAAACAAAGAATAATATAATGAAATATGTATATTAATGCAAAATCTCATAGTGTTTTATTATTACAGAATACGAGTAATATTTTTTTTGTAAAATTGAAAGAAAATATAAACAAAATTTTTCGAAGTGGTTTCAATAACAATATTTTGACATTAAATTGTTATTGTATATTGTATATATCTACAATGAATAAATATTATAATAATATCATTGTAGATTGATTTCAAATAACAATGTCAAAAAATCTTATCGCTTACGACAAAAAGTATGATTTCCTCTTGAATTAATCAAAAATTAAAAAGTAAAATGATCAATTTGAAATTGTAATGTCAAAAATGACATATCGGTTTTGATCAATTTTTATTTTAATACTTTTGATTTACTTTTACATAAACACAAGGTGTTATATTCTGACAATTATGCCGAGTGAAAAATTATGAAGATGCAAAGCAGCACTTTAAAATTGCACGCTTTCCTATTTTCTGTAATAAAACAAGAGCTTAAAATATTGTAAAAATTTTGACAGCCAGCAGATTCAGATTGTACTATGCCTATTGAATAAACCTTGTGTTCAAATTATTAACGAAAATTTCTTACATTTATGTTTATTGGTTGACTATTTATTGACTTCCAAGTTATATCCGGAGTCCTCATTCTTGTTAACTTATATTTTATCGTAACATGTAAAATATTAAATTGAAGTTTACACTGCATGCATAATTTTAGCTTCCCAAACACAATATGGCGTAAACTAAACTTTTAAAAACTTACAGTGGACAGAAGATTTTGAATGTTTATGAATTTTTTAAAACATTGCTGTCAAAAGTAATGAATAAACTTAGGAATGTGATGTGTCACTAGGCTTCGTTTTAGATTATGTTAATAGATTTATTCTGATATGGCACCTTAAGAGCAATTATTAATAATATAAAAACTAATATTTGGTTTGGTTAATCCGGAGTCATCTATTTTTTTAAGTGAAAAAGTCAATGGAGAAAATATTATATATTAAAATATAATCTGAATAATTATTTCTATTATTCAAAGGCTTTTGAATAATTTTTTTTGATTCCCGTAATAAAATTGTGAACTCCCGGAATGCACGCGGTTTTAAAAAAAAATATTTTTTGAATTCACCTCAAAATTTTGAAAAAAAAAATTTAAATGGAAATGGTGAAAAAAAAATTTTTTGTGGTATTTCACCACACGGTGTGAAAAATTTACCACACACGTTACAAACACTAATTAACTAACTCTTGCGGTCAAATTTTGAAATACAGGTCAAATGCAAAGGCCAACAAAGGTGAGAAATGTGTTTATGAATAAGATTAAACGAGGCGCCATCTCGCCGTCAATATTAAAAATTGTATTTTACAATTTTTGAAAGTTATTCTCTCTATGTTTATTTTGAAAACGAAACAAGGAAATGAAACAAGATGAGAATGAATTTTTTAATTTCTCGACATCGCGACATCTCTCGATATGTAGGTTAACTAATACAGAATTTTCTTTTTATGTAAACGAGAACGTGCTACCAGTTAGGAAAAATATTATTTTATGTGAAAATTGAAAATTAAAATTGACTTTAAATAATTAAATAATTAATTTACCATAATTTAAGTAATTTTTCCAAAAACTCGTAAATAATTTTATGGTACTGAAAACTCATTTAGTTGTATCGCTAACATTCATAGAGGGTTAATAATTATGTATTATAATAAACTCACTATGTTATTGAAATGCATTTTAGTGGAAAAGATTTAAGAAATTCTGTTACAACTTGTTTAACTCATATATCTTAAAATTCATTTGGTAATTTTTTTCTAATTTGAAATGTCAATTACAAACTGTTTCAATTTCAGTTTTAATTCGATAACATTAAAGAAAATATTTAATTAGATCCTTCTATTTTGTTTTGTTATTTTTTTTATTACCTTTTTAATATGTTGAATTAAATTATTCTAAAAATATCTATTAAAATATCCAATATTCGCGCAAATTTACCTTTCGTCAACAATATGTTTAATTAAGCATAAACTTTTACGTGTTAGAGAAATATCAAATGTACAAACCTTTTTCATGTTATAAACGATATTAAGTGATATTAACCCGCATATAAATTATGAGAATGTATTGCAATTATATATATAAATGCCTAATATATTTACTTGTGTTACCCTTTTAATGGACAACCATCTTTCTATTGTATCAGGTATTTTGTATTATTGAACTGAGATTTAAATTCCAATGATATATATATATATATATTAATTTTTTTTTTATTGAATACTCCCATGAATTTTTTTAAGATTAAAAATATCGTTATCGCCTCAAATATAGAATGCGATTTAAATCCTTTTTATGTTTTGCTTCAATTATGTTTTAAACAAAATTATAATTTTAAATTTTTTTTATACATATGTATGTGTATCGTAAATAAAAATTGAATTTCTTTCTAATTTTTAGCGCATTTAAAAAAAAAAAGAAATTGGGAAAAATAGTGCTTATAAATTTTATTATATTGCTCATTCATCCTTTGCCTCATGCTTACTCCTTTATAAAATCTTCTACATACTTAATTATAGAAATTTAAGATGGATCTTTGTAACATACTAATTTCTCTTGAGGAACTTTTTCTTCTGCCACCACCCCTCCATATATCTTCTCAATGTACGAAAAATCTCCTCTCTTGACAACTGATTTTATCCAAACCACAAGTATTTTTTAAATATCGCAAAAGGAAAGGAATTGGCTTCTCCTATTGTTGTATTAATTAAATACATTTTATATCATTTCTTATCGTAAAATATTTATCATAATTTTTCTTTGAGACGATAAGTTGTTGTGCCCTCACATTTTGAGAGTCAGTAGAAATTAATAATAGTGTATTTTGTGTGAACAAAATTTTTTTGAAAATTACTAGCTTTTTGAAAGTAAAGAACTAAATTAAACAAAATGGCCGTCGAAACCAATTTATGCTTTTCCAAATATATTGATTTCTTTTTTCATTTTTTCTCTCATCTTAAAAGCGTCAAACATAATATGTTAACAAATGGTTTTCATTTGTTAAAGGAAAATGTGCTACTTTGGAAACCATTTGTTTGACACGAATTTATTATAGTGTACCGTTATTATTATGCTTTATGTGAATACGTATATTTAGACTCTTTCTAATTATTTCGATAAAATGAAAATAATTTTTTAATCAATTAGTAGATTTTTTTTTATCTTTTTTTCTTATTTTGAAAGCTCCTGGGATTTAGAAAACAAAAACAAACTCGGATTTAAATAAAAATTAATATATTCGTTTTTCCTTCACCAATATATTTTATAAATAATGGTTTTGTTTATACATACTTGTATTTGTGAATGTATGGTGCAATATAGGTTATGTAATAATATGAGTAGGGTTTTTCTAATACCTATATTGTAAACTGAAAATAAGGAATTAGTTTTAATATAGAATTTTATTAGAAAATGACATATAAGGATATTTTGCGTATAAAAAGCCAAAAAATTGTATTGATCTCATAATTTTTAATTTAAATTATAATTTTAGACTTAAAGCAGGAAAAGGTATAATTATTTTTATTTTTGGTTTGATTTTTGAAATTTCTTTAAATTACTTTTATTTGCAGATTCATATTTATTTTGAGTATATATGGACTTCACTTTTTAATTATCAGCCTTCTTGTTGGTTCGGGAGCATTTTTGTTAAATTAATATTATTACATAGGCCCCTATGATGTACGAGTATGATTAAACAATATTTAAGTAAAACATAAAATATGCGAAGATACAGCGATATTCTGTTGCAAACTTGTATAACCGAATTTAGTTGTTTAAAAAATAAATTTAAAAAATAAATAAAATTTAGATGAAGAGAGTTATTTTGATAACAGTTAAGAATGAATTATAAGAATCTCATCTAAATTTTGTTTCTCTTTTTATCTATTTATTCTTAAACTCTAATTTTCTAATTTGAGTATGCTATTTATGTCCAGTGCTAGGATATAAGCATTTTTAATACCAAATTTAGCATAATGAATTTCAGTTTTGCATTGGAATTTTAAAAGATTCTTGACAAGTGAATTCTTGACATAATAGCGTTTAAAAAAAGCATTGAAAAATCTTTAAAAGAAAAGGTTCTAAAGGTTTGATTTTCATAGACAACTTTCATTATTTGATATTCACATTTACTTTATTCAACTCAAATTCACAATGATTCGAATTTTTTAAAAATTTTCATTTCTTATTTTGAATATTAAGAAGATGGTTTCATTTTTTTGAATAACACAAAGATTATAAATTAAATAAAATAGAAATTACTTGTTTTTTTAATTAAATTCCTCCAAACTATCAAGTTTTTGAAATTTGACATAAAATGGCTTTGTTTTTTGGCTTAATTTATCACAATTTCCCAACCAAGACCAAATTTCCTAACACAGTTTATATCAAGTTGTTTGTATTAAGGGACAAAACCCTTCTCCCCAATAATCAATAAAATTTTTTTTGCTTACTTTTGATAGTATCCTAAAGTTGATTGGAATTATTATTAATTTCTTATTAATATCGTTCAATTTTTTTAAATTTTATTTTTCAATTTTCAAAATAAAAAAAACACCATTTAGAAAGGATATTATAAAGGTGGTATTAAATTGAAGAAAATCCAAAAAGTTATCAGATTTTAATAACATATCTAAACAGGAAAAACGTAAAAGAAGAAAAAGATAAAAAAAATAGTAAAAAATAAAAAAAAAATAAAGATAGATAAAATTTGAGAGTAAAAATCTCAACGTAAAATAGGAGGAGTTGAATATGTCAAATTTTAGTTTTTTTTATTTTATTTTTACAAGGGTTTCTTTTATTTTCATAATATCCGAATATCTAATTTCATATATACACATACATATACACATAATGTGCATATTATAAGTTACCCAAAAAAAAAAAAGATATTTTATTTGAAATCAATTTTATTTATATTAAGGCTTTATAACATAAATATATTTGTATGTGTGGTTGTTAGTATGTACTTATAAGTAAAAGGTATAGAAAGATTTTGTTTCGTTCATATGTATGTACACTAGCTATAAATTTATTTAGGTAAAAGACAAAACCAATTTTGAATATTTTTAATTTGACTTTAACTTTGATTTCAGTTTTCCATTTTAATGATGATATTTGATCAATATGATGGTATATAAAGAAGTAAACACTAAAGTTTTTAAATTTGCGAAATATGAAACTTTTCCTTTCTATAATAAAGTAGATGATCATTCATGTGAACTATATATAGAACAGCTATAGATATAGACTGTATAATACGAGAAGTAGAAAAATTTGTTATAGTTTTAATTCTTAATAAAATATTAAGGCTCTATATACAATAACTCTTATAGCTATTTAAAAAGACCACTGTACCTGTACAAGCTTTCATTCTTATGTATGCAAAAATAAACTAAAGGAATAAAAAGATCTTAAATATTTATCAGAAAATATTGAAGTATATCTTTGAAATTAGAAAAATTCAGCCAATATTTTCATAAAAATAACCGATACCACAAAGACTTGAAAATTAATAAGATTAAAAAATACAAATAGTAAACATCATAGTTGCTTTCATAATAATTAATGAGATTATAGATGATGTAATGGCGAAAAAAAAGAAAGAAGTGATACTTTTATGAACCTACATTGTTTGCTGTACAAATTCCACAAGTTTAAGAAAAATTATAAAATATTTTAAGATAATAGAAACTGTATATGAATTTATTAAACACTTCGTTATTTTATCTGGTTGTTTCCAAGCGCAGTTGTCTTAAGAAACAATTGTACACTGACATTCACATGAATAAATAAAAACTCTTTGTAATTGGTAAGGATATTGGAATAGAGTCTACATACATATTACCAATTTACCAAGCAAGTATACAAAATATATTTTTCAGCTTCAGTTTGTTAAAAATTAACTACTTGGATTCAAGGTTGAAATTTTTGGTAAAGCACATTTAATCAATAATTTATTGTTAAATTTTTTATATGATTCGTATACATATATCGCATTAAAATAAAATCAAAGGTAGAATTTATTTTACTTAAGTGATCAAAAAAATTTCGGCACAAGTATTAAATAAAATTTATAGTAACTGTATTAATTTTTCTTTTTGATGTTAGATCACATATTTTTAGGCGATATAAATTTTTTTAATCAGAAACAAATTAAAATGTTATTGAACATAATCCTACAGATGAAATAGATAGTGTTGTTAATGCATGTTTCTATATCATCAAAGATGGTAGTTAGCATGTTGTATGGTGAAAAATAATATATTCTTTTTAACATTTTTCTAAAAATTTTTGAAAAAAAGTGCTTATTAAATTCATTCCTTCCACCCCCGCCTCCACCCCCTCTTAAGTTATCACCGCTCGGAATACGTAAAATTCGAATTCTTGGCACCGTATATTTCCGAAACTGCATAAGCTTTTCAAGGTAAATTCTATACCATTACAAAATATAATTATTTTTCTTAGCTCACACAACTAAACCTTAAAATCGAACATTATGTTAACACCTTCAAATTTATCTTTGTTTTATATTAAAAACTGCATAAATTGTTCATCCTTAATCTGCAATCTTAAAAATACGTGCAATTTTTAGTTTTACAGCTTGATTGTAAAATAGCCAAGTAACTAAATAATTGCATCAATGCAAATCAATTGCATTAATCCGTTAATTGTAATCAGTTTTTAAAAGATTATAAACTGTTTACTTGAATACTTTCATGTGATATTTCAGTTGCATGTTTGCGTTCTGAATATAAACTTATATAATGAATATAAACTTATGGAAAACAAATTAGCAATAGAACAGTTTCGAAATTGAATATTACATATCTGATTGAGTCCTAAAATGTTGAAAGATTGCCAATTTCCGAATTTAAGTGTAAAAATTTATAACGTGAAGAGAACGGAATACATAAAAATTTTGTTCTACAGGATTAATTTGTTTAATACAACGCGTATCTGCACAAAATTTTAACTTTACATTTTGAATATTGTAGAAGCTTTGTAAACGGACGGATAGAAGAGTATATTAGATAGTGAGACAAGCATACTCAGAAAAACTAATAGACACTTTTTTTCAAGATTTTTTAGAAATAGGTTAAATTCATGTTGGCAGATCTTAATACTTTATTCTTACTCTGTCAGTGTTATGCTAAAGCAGAAAATTAAAAAATTGAAGGAATCAACTATACTTTTAGACACAACAACATTTCTTCCTCCATTTTCACTTTATAATTATAGCTTTTCAATTGTATTTTTATGTTAGTTTCTGATTATTGACAGCATTAATTTTCATGCTGGTAAACGATCTGCTTTTTGCAGTGTTGTCACAAAAACACACTACATTTTCTGATCTAACTAAGATATGCCAACATGTGAACTCCTCTATATGCATATGTTAAAAAATATTGATACACAATATTAAAAATATTTTAAGTTTTTTGTTATCTTAAAGTTGGGAAAAAAATCACCCTTATCTTCTATTTTATAGTTTATCAATTTTGTTATAAGATAAAATTTTCAATAACAAAATTGATATTTTCTCTAATTTTGTCAAAAATAATAAAGAAAAAGTTTGATTCTAACAATGGCCTTCAAATCGCACAGTACCATTTTGAAAATTAGTTTTTTCTTAGTAGTTTTCTTATGCTTCTCAGCAATTCGAGCTGAGGACAATGATTGTTCAAGTAATTTATAAAAAAAAAAATAATTTTATTTTTACAATTTTAAATTTAATATGTAAGTTTACATATAATTTCAGCGAAGAAACATGTTGTTTGTTATTTGGCTAGTTGGGCAGTTTATAGAACAGATAAAGGAAAACATAAAATATCCAATATAAAACCAAAATTATGCACCCACTTTATTTATTCATTTACTGGTTTAAGTTATGATGGAAAAATTGAAACTTTGGATCCAGATTATGATGTAAAAGGTAAAATTATAATAAAGATTTTTTCATTTCAAATATTCCGTAACAATTTCGAGTCAAAGTTTCGTGCGGTTTGAATAAAAATTCCGAATTAAATGCGATGCTTTGTGAAAAATCACATTTGTTGTTAATCATTTGTGAAAATTAAATATTGAGAATGTTCTTTCATATTATTAGAAAACGAAGAAATTCTAGCTCATTTGAAAAAACAATCCAAACATTTAGTCTCTTTTCGTATGTCCTTCAAACGCGATGAAAGCTCCCCTGTCGCAGATTAAGTTAAAATAAAATAGGTCATTCTAGTTATAGCGGATTCTTACCAAAAACCATTACTAAAGTTTTAGGGAACAGAATGTAACAAAATTGAGAGTTTCAAACATTTTTTTTAGCTTTCAAAAATTTCATAACATTAAGAGAGAAAAATCCTTGTGCCAAATTTTTAATAGCAATTGGAGGATGGAATCAAGGTTCCGCAAAATTTTCCTATGTAAGTTATTAAATTTTTTTTTTCGTACATAATATAAAAAATTTTATTTAACCCTATTTCTACTCTGATAGATGTCTGAAACACCAGAACGTCGTGAAATTTTTGTTGATAGTGTTATGAGATTTTTAATTCATTATGATTTTGATGGTTTAGATTTGGATTGGGAATATCCAGCGCAACGTGGCGGTATTAATGAAGATAAAAAAAATTTAAATGAACTTTTAAAACTATTAAAAAATAAATTTGCATCAAGAAAAAAAATTTTAACAATTGCAATACCATCAAGTACATATTCATTAAAACAAGGCTATGATATAGAAAACATGTGTAAAAATGTTGATTTTGTATCAGTTATGGCATATGATATGAATGTACCAAATGAAGCAAGTGTACATGCACCATTAAAATTAGAAAAAAATGAAAAGAAAAGAGAAACTATTGATGATGTTATAAAATTTATGATAAAAGAAAAATGTCCAGCAAATAAAATTATTTTAGGTATAACAAGTGTTGCAAAAACTTTTACATTAAAAAAATCAAATTCTAATGATATTGGTGCACCAATAACTGCTTTAGGTACACCTAGTAATTATTTAAAAGCAGAAGGTAGTTTGGGTTTTAATGAAATGTGTACAAAATTTGAAGATGATGATGGTTGGACCCATAAACATATGAAAAATAATGCTGTTAAAATTTCATATAAAGATCATTTTTGGGCTGTTTATGATGATGAAACAACTGTTGAACAAAGAGGGCAATATGTTTTAGATAATAAACTTGCTGGTTTAATGTTTTGGAGTATTGATACAGATGATTTTTATCCAGAATGTCATAAAGCTAAATATCCATTGTTAGTGGCTGCAAATAAAGTTTTTAAAAATTAAATAATTTTTATTGTAAACAGATATGAAAATAAAGGTTTTTATAATTCTTGGTATTGAGTATTTGATTTAATTATGTTTTAATGAGATCTACATTAAAATTATTATAATTAAATTTTTTCTGATTGGTATCAGATTTTCAACTCAAATTAAGTTTAGTATTGCTCACATTTTCGGAGATTTTTGACAAAATTGAGAAAAAAAGTGTGCTTATTATTTTTACTTTGTCCCCAAGCCTTCTGAATGCATCTCATGAAATTTCTAAAACACTTATTTCATGATTTATAATAAAATTTTTTAAATGAGCTTTAGGAAGGAATCCTTATCATTAGGGTATAATATTTACCCGAAGCTTTGTTTCTTTCAATTTGTTTAATTCTATAGAATTACAAAATCTTGAAAATGACATTTTCTGACTAGTTATTGTGCAGGCAAAATGTAAAATCATTTGAAGTTCCATATAGAAACACAAAAGGGGTCGATTTCTTTTCTATAATAAATGTGCTTCGGTACAAATTATTGGTATGATCGGAACTTATTCAATCTTTAATTATTTTTGGAGATTCCAATTTAAATTTTTTTCTGTATAGAATTGCGTAATTAATTCTTATATTATGGCTAATTATCAAATTTTTTGAGTTAAAATTTTTGCAATATAGTTGATTAATTTTTCTTGTAAAATATTTGCTTTTCAATAAATTTTCACCATTAATGTAGCTATTTACTTTTTAAGTATTTATTTACCAATTTTTGTTTATTTAAAGTGAAAAGTAAAGGATTTTACTCAAAAGTTTGTTTGTACATTGCTATAAAAATTAAATATTAGTTTATTAATTTATCGACATTTCGAATACATATATACACAACTGTATGTATATGAATAATAGTTATACAATATTAAACTATATATACAATTTTTTTGCAAAGTCATTTGAACTTAAAATAATCGCATTTCATCGTATATAAATTTACTATGAACCACCAATATATTTTGATAGATATAAATCGTACTACATAATCGTATTGTGTGTATGCGATTGAAAATAAAATTTTAAGTAAAATGAACGTTTTCTAATAATATTAAAGAGAATATACACAAACATATGTATAACAATAAAACATACATATAATATGCTGGTAATAAAAGGATTCTGATTCCTTTAAAAATTTTCCAATATTTTATTATTTCGAAAAATATATTGAAATTTATATGGTAAGGAGTTGTAAGACCTGGATACCATAACATACTTTTTTTTTGCTTTTAGGGGATAATACCATATGGGCGATAATAATATATTTTATACTTTTATTTATTATTATTTTTTTTTATTATTTTATAACATTTTTTCTTAGTATCCTTTAGAATAATACCGCAACATCTCAAAATTTATTCTTTCGTGTAAATTGAGTTCAAAGTAACATTATTTTTATATGGGAAATTAAAAATCGAAACATTTTGTTTTACACAAGTTGATATATTTTATTTTTAATAAATGTAAGACTGCAATATTTTGAATTGTATGTTGAAATGCTGCTGAAATTGATTTGAGAAAATCGTGTACTATTTCAAAATGTTGCCGCGGTATCAAATTAAAATATTTTTGGAGTTTGGATGATATTGCAAAATATGGCGATAATGAATTCAATAAAAAATACACTTCGAAAAAAATACAAAAAACTGAAATGAGAGAATTTTGAAAAGAAGCGGTAATTTCTAGTATACCGTTACGTGATTTGGAACAAAATACGAGTATAAAGAATTACTTTGCATTTTCAGCTACATGTCCAGTTAAAAAATTAACAATTTTGAGATGTTGCGTTATTATTCTCAAAGTGCGTTATGTATATAATAAAAATTGTTGCTGGACATTTTGTAAAAGAAAATAAAAAATAAAAACTTGTCATTTGATAAAATTGGAACGATATTTAATGAACGGTATTTTTTTTTTTGGTTGAAAAGTGTACAACATTCTCAAAATATTTTAATCGCGTTGCAACACTCAAAACTTTAAGCAAAAAATTATTCTTTTTCTTGGTAAAATACAAAATTTGTTTCATAAATATTTACAAAAATAAAATTATAAATTGATTATCGCGCATTGTAGTATAGAATATTTAAAACATGGTCCTTTTTATTTTATTACAAGATAATTGCCTTCTAGCTAAAGACCATATAGAAGATAAGTTAAAGTGATATACAACAAATAAATTTGTATATTGTTCGCAAATCGATATATTTTGGAACCTTTTTGTCAATAAAATAGGCAAGCAGGTTAAAATTTAAAATTTGTTAAGGTTCAAAACTTATTGATCAAATTTTCGAATAAGTTTTTGATCGCTTATAAATGAAATTTTTTACATATTTTGAAATTTTTGACTTGTAAGTCCTTTGAATAAAGTGTCTGAGGATAAATTATGACAAAATTCTCTGTTTTTTATTTAGAAAATGAAAAACTTATTCTTTTAAGATGCTCAATTTTTATTTGATTTTCCACATTTTGCGTTTGATTCATTTCAGTTTTCGAGAACATCTTGAGTCATATTAGTTTACTTTTTCACCATGAAGAGAATGATGCTCGAAAAAAAGATTTGCAAATTTTTGTTAAAGCGGAATTAGTAAAAATGTGAGAATAATTTCGTTCGGTGGTCCATTAATGTTATATTTTAAATTTATATTACTTGGTGACTTTATTGGTGATATTTCCGCCTAATTAAGCAATGGTTTATAAGTTAACGGACAACCTTAAAAGAAGTTTTGACCATATAACAATTATGTTTGTCAATAATTAATTTATTCGAAATTAATTATTTATCGAATCAAAAAGAGGTTTTATATAAAATGTGCAACTCTTTTTCTTTCAAATAAAACGCTAAAAACATAAAAAATTAATTTTTATGAAGCAAATTTTAAAAATTTTCCTTAAACCTTATACATAAATTGAGTCATAAATTTTAAATATTTTCACCGAATACCGCCGAATATGAATGAATATTTCCGCCTTTTCTTTGAAGGAAGGTCTTTTTAAGATCTTACAAATTATACCACTAACTTTTACAGTTTAAGTTTTACAGTTGCAACTTTTTACCTGGAAAAATTTCAACGAATTACTGCACATACATATTTTCATACCAAAAGTTTAATTCGTAAAAAATTTATGTATCATTGCAAATTTTCACTTTATCTTTTAAAAATGAGGATCCTGTAAATATGCAATTTTTATAAATTTATAAATAATTTCTCATTTTAGTTAAAATTTTGTTCTTTTAGCTGTTATGATTTTTTTTTATTTAACGAGTTTTATATATATATATTTTTTAAATTAATTAATTTTTTTTAAAATTTTAAATTTAAAAACCAAAGTTTCCGAAATCATAACCTACATTTGCAGTATCATTTTGATTACTAATAATTTTCAAATTAAGTTGATCACTAAAATTTAAACTCTTTAATATAGTTTTAAAAAAATGTTAAATTTTCTCATCCTAATTCCTAGGATTTTTTATCATAAAGAAAATAAATGACTATAATTGCACAATAAATCTTATATAGAAAAGAAAAGAAAAAAGCAGGAAAAATTAAAAGTTAAGAACAAACAATTTCCTTTTTATTATACTTTGGCTATTAAATTGATTTTATTTTCTACAAAAATTTTCTTTAAAATTTTATATTGTGTAATTTTCAACAATATTTTTTTTTTTAGAAAATTCAGAATGAAAATGATAAAAAGTTATTAATTTGATCTAATAGCAATAATTTTTGTGGATTTTAGCACAAAGGTATTGGTTTAATAAAATTGATTTACACTTTCTGACATAATATTTTTTAATCGGACAAAAGAATGTTTTTCCTACAATTTTAGCTTTAAGCATTCTAAAATGATGAAAATTTTTTATTCTATTTAATAGTCAATATTAGGAAATTAATAAATTTTTTAAAGTCAATTACAGATTAAATATAGGACGGTAAAATCATCGTTGCTCGTCGTCTCGTAGTTGTAAATTACTTTTATTTAAAAAAGTAAGTAAGTTCTTCCGCAAACCAAAGTATTCAACTCTAATTAGAATGCAACCAAATATTGCTTTAACACCATCCTTTTAATAATTTGAAATGTGAATACTATAAAAGATATTAGAAGGGAAACCGAATAATTCAACCTGAAATTATCGAATCCAAATACTTTATTTCAGTTCAGAAAATGTTTTTATTATTATTAAGTGGCAAAAGACGAAAAGTTTTTCACATTTTGTTAATTTATTTTCACTTATTTTTATATAATATTTTTGCTTAATTTTGTTTGAATATTTTCCTTGTTGTATATTTTACGTTTGCCTGTGACGTGTAACACATGATTTTGTTTTTCCATTTATTATATAAGAAACCATTGAGTACATAATGATTAGCGTGATACGAAAATAATTATTTCTTTTGAAGAATACTCGTGTACTAAGCTTTATTAATATTTGCTATAAATCTGCTAAATATTTTGTTATTTTAAATGTTTACATAGCCCCTGTTTATAACAGTGTTCGTTTAGTCAAGTCCTGTATATAATATGTAGGTGTCTTGAATTTTCACAGAATATTATATTATAAATCCTCTTTACGGCCTCTTTTAAAGTGAAACAAATCGCTCAAATATTGTTGTAGAACAGGAGTTTCTATATATCCTTCGAATTTATTAAGATGTGATGAACCGATGATCGAACATCTTTTTGTTATAATCATTCTCTTTTTCTATAACAACAATAATTTTTACTATATCACTGATTTTTAACTATTCTCACAGATTCATTAGAACATTTTAAGCACCATAAATCTTTGTTCAACCTATACTTTTGTTCATGCCTAATTTAAAAATAATATTGTTAAACTTTTAGAATAATATAAACTTAATTTATATTGATGTGTATAATATATTTTATTATTGATTGTGTGTGTGTGTTTATTTTTCTGCTTTTCAATTTAAAAAAAAAATAAATATTAAAAGAATAACAATGAAAGGA